TTGTTCTGTAAACCTTCATCTAAAATACAATAAAACAAGCAAAGAAAAAAATAATTCTACAGCGGAATCCTGATCAAAAGGGGGTAAATGCAGAACATAATTTCAAATTTTCATGGACTCTAGACTTTCTGGGGCCATGGAGGCTGGATGAACCCCTGAAGCTATTGCCCTGAGATAATCTTTAAACCTTAAACCAAAAATATCCCCTGAAGTCTTCTTAAAACCAAACAATAGTTTAGCTGAACTAGTAAAGAATGTCAGCCTTGAACATGGTGCCTTTTTAAGATCTATCAGCTGCTAATCAAAACGTCAGTAGTTCGAATCCACCAACTGCTCCATGGAAACCCTGTGAGGCAGTTCTACTCTGTCCTATAAGGTCGATATGAGTTGGAATCAACTCGACGACAATGATTTTTTTTTTTAAAATGGGATCAAACTGACAACAGCAACATGAAAGAGAAGACAGGAAACTTATGGGGCAGTGAATTTCTGATAGCGGGGGGGGAAGAACTCAGAAAAGGAGAGTAAGAATGGTTGCACAACTCAAAGAATGTAATCAATGTCACTAGTAAACATGTAGAAACTGTTGAATTGGTGTTATGTTTTGCTGTGTATATTCTCAACAACAAAAAATCAATAAAAAAAAATTAAAAACCTAAAAAAAAAAAAAAAAAGTTGAAGCCATCTCATTTGCTTTTTTTTTTTCTTCCAGATCCCAAGGAGAATGCCCCCCAGCAATGAACTATGGGTAGTTAGACTTGGTACAGTAACGCTCAGATCACTCGTTGACACCAATGGGTTTACACAATCATCTCCACTGGTCACTGTATCTGACACAGTACCTGCATCTTACTCCCTTCTAAGCCCTGCCAGGCAGCCACTATGTAGTGTGTGGCCTGCAGCCTTGTGCAGTCTATCAGCGAGTTCACAAAAGAATGTTTCCACAGGGGGCATTTCTTCCGACACTCTGAAAAACAAAGGCTCACCTAAAAATAATTAAACTAGACTTAATGGTATTGCTGCTCTGAGTGTCATAATCAAAGAAGAATGAAAGAAATCTTAATAAGATTGCAATCAGGTGTTTGTGTTCTTTAATCATGTATTAGAGTTTTAGCTGAAACCATGTTGATGGTGGCCCAGAGGAACCTTCTTTTCTCTTCAGGGAAAGTGAAACTACTGCCAGGCTAAACTATGGCTACTGAACCCAGCTCCTACTTCCACCTAAATCCTGTCCAAATCCTCCCCATGAGCCCCCTCCCTCTTCCAGACCCCAAAGTGCACCCCTCCTCTGCATCTTCTTGGTTTGCATACCCCGACCTAGAACTTAATTACTCAATGCTCTTTGCTGCTCCTTGTTTGCTTATGGAACTTGGTACAATCTCCCAATCCCTTGTTTTGTAAGTGCCTCCATTTGGGAATCATTTTATTTTTTGCTGATGAGCCCATGCCCAGCACCTACCTCAAAGTCAGGTAATAATTACTATTATTTAAAACCATGACTGTTTTTGTCATAGGAAAAGGTATATTTTTTTTAAACGATAAGTTGGGGGTTTACAAAACGATTCTTCCTAAGATTCCATTCATTAGTAAGCTAAGGTCCTTCAGTGGGGTTAAAATATGATTCCCTTTAGAAAAACGAGATGACTATACATCTGTTGTGCAAAATGAGGTGTGCCATGTTCTACTGAGTAATGGTGGCATGGGAAAGGCAACACAAAGTTGCTCCTGTTAACTGTGACTATCTGGCATTGGGCTAAGAAGAGAGTTAGTAAGTCTCTGAACTGCAGAGAAAAGTCCCTTCTCTCCCATCCTCACCCTCTAGTCACTCAGACCCCAATCTCTATGTCAGCTTGGTGATTGTTTTGCCTTAAAGGAAATCCATGGTGTCATTCAACACCATTTTATGCTCCAAAAGTGGCCACACACTGAGGAACCTTAGCCTCAATATTCTACAGTGCATAGAGGAGAACGCTGCTGACATTGAAGACATCCATTCCCATACCCTCACTCATTCACCAACAGGTGTACGAAAGCTGACCCTCAACTGTTACTTCCCAAGACCTACCACACCCAGGGGTTCCACAGAGGCCTCCACAATTAGACTAGACCCCTCCTCTGATGTTGGACCTCTTGTCAATGTGTGCTAAGAAAGAATGTCAGTATACCTCCCTGCCCAGGAGAGCGCCTCAGACAGTGAGGGAGATCTGCTGGGTATAGAAGAAGTGGGAGGGCTCCCCGACAGGGGACATTATGCTGGGCCAAGCACAAGAGAGTACCAGTGTGATATCAGAGCAGGGCCACTAGGTTAGGGAGTCCTGGAGACCAGATGCCCGGTCTCACTCTGCTAATGTGGAGTGTCTGTGGGCAAAAGACTTCACTTCCCTGAGATTCAGTTTTCGCAATGGTGAAAAAAGAGAAGTAAAAGAGATGATTTTAAAAAAATCTTCCAACCCTCAGATTGTGAGCTGACGGTGAGCACCTACCATGTATGAGGGCCTGCGATAGGCACTGTGGATGATAAAGACCTACAGAGCACCTTTCTCATTAATCTAGAATTATGCTCTAGTGTAGAAAAAAAGAAAATTGACCTCATCATTGGGCCTCTATTGTCATGCTGGACTCTGTATATGAACATGCACGAACCCATAAATATTAGGCGTTACATTACATACTTCAAAAACGAGTATAGCTTGAAGTCCTGATCCATGCTACAACATGGCTGAACCCTAAAAACATTATGTTGAGGGAAATCACCCAGTCACAAAAGGACAAATATTGTATGATCCATATTATACAAAATATCTAGAATAGGCAAGTGTAGAGAGACTGAAGTTTATTTAGTGGCTAACAGAGGTGGGTGAGAGGGAGGGGAAAGGAAGAGAAAATATTTAGGGGACATTGAGCTTCTATTAAGGGTAACAGAAAAATTTGGGAACGGTTACTGGTGATGGTTGAAAGACATGATGAACATAATCAATATCACTGAATCATTCAGGCAAAGATTATAGAAATGGCAAATGTTCTGTTACCTATATACCTACCACAGTAAAATAAAATGAGTACAGCTAATAAGGTCTGTACTAGTTCATGAAAGGAATAGGTTCTTGTTAAATAAGGGGGTGTTGGGGGTCTCTGAGGAAGGTTACATAGACAAAGGATTAAAATGGTGCCTTGAAGGATACGCGGAGTGATTATCAGCAGAGATTTTTGTATTCTCCTGAGAAGTCAGAAGGATAGGAAAAATTCCACAAGACCAGTGTTTCTCAATGTGGAATAGGTGTTGTGTGTGTGTGTGTGTGCGTGTGTGTGTGTGTGTGAAACTGGGATCAAATAAGTTGGGAAACAGTAGACTAAACAAAGTTAATCTTTTTTTTTTCCATTGCAGATCTCCCTGGGGACTTTAGTAAGCAAATGTGTGTTAAACTCTAAGACAGGTCAAAAGTGCAAACTTATGACCCACAGAGTCCTTTATTCTCACAGCTTTGTGAGTGATCAGGTTTCTGAGAAATGTTGTTAGGTGCTGTCGAGTCGGTTCCAACTCATAGCGACCCTACCTACAACAGAACGAAACACTGCCTGGTCCCGCACCATCCTCACAATTGCTGCTATGTTTGAGCCCATTGTTGTAGCCACTGTGTCAATCCATCTCATTGAGGGTCTTCCTCTTTTTTGCTGACCCTCTCCGTTACCAAGCATGATGTCCTTCTCCAGGGACTGGTCCCTCCTGACATTTCCAAAGTATGTGAGATGAAGTCTCGCTGTCCTTGCTTCTAAGGAGCATTCTGGAGATGAAGTCTCACTGTCCTTGCTTCTAAGGAGCATTCTGGCTGTAATTCTGAGAAATACCCTTTGGGAAAAGCTGTAAACTCCCTAACATCAGGGGCTGGGTCTTGCTCACCCAGGTATCCCCTGCACCTGGCACAGGGCCAGGCACATGGGAAGGACTCAATCAATGCCTGCTAAATGACCAAATGAGTAATTGTTGAATTCTAACGGACAGGCTGGCATCCACAACACCATGGAGGTGAGAGCGTGCCAGGGAGCAAGGGTTCACATCTCCACGGGGCCGTCCCTTCACTATATGGGCTCAGATGAGGTCACCTTCACCTTTTAAGAAGCCCAGGGCCACAAATCAATAAGGCATCCTAAAAGACTTTAATTTGTCTCCCAAAAAGGTTTTAATAAACTCTTTTTTTCCCAAAATAAAATAAATTAAGAGTTTCATTAAGACTCTTGGCATTTTTCCTCTTTACTAAGAATACCGAAACCAAAACCAAACCTGTTGCCCTAATCGATTCCGACTCATAGCGACCCTATAGGACGGAATAGAACTGCCCCATTGAGTTTCCAAGGAGCGCCTGGTGGAATAAGGTAACAAATAATCAGTTATGACACTCGTAGGCCAGACTCCATAATGTGGTTATAGATTATCTTTGTTTCTTTACTGCCACCTTCTGGCTCCAAGGCACCTACATGGTAAATTAACATGCCACTTTATTTCTGTATTTCCCTACGGGATTTTAAGCAATCTTTCTTTCATATCCTTTACCTCAAATGATGTTATACAAGTTAGAAGCAGGTAGGGTGGCCTTGACTCTTTTTCATTTGACCTGAAAGCAATATAGAAGTTAAATGATTTGCCTAGTGATAGAAAGTCAGAGGCAGAGCAAGGACTAACCCACACCTGTTGGTTTTTCCAATGAGCAAACACTGGGTTTAGCCATTTGGCTTTGTCCAGCCACATCTGCAAAGAGTTCTATGGCTCTCTCACGCCTTCGCAAGCACAACCTTAAGTGGAAAATTCCATGCCCTTAAAAAAAAGGATGCTGTTCAAATACACCCTGATCTTCTCAAGGGTAAAATCCATTCCACTTTACAAAGTCTTTGACACATGAATGTAGAAGGTCTATTATTGATTTTTTCATCTGATTGTCAAGATACCACAGTGTCCTGCAGAGCGACCCCAAGACAGTGGTCAGCCAGCTTCTTCCTAAACATACCTTGGTCTGGAAGCAGCAATAGAGTTGGGTTAGGTACGGGTGTTTCCGAGCCAGAGCCAAAATCCTCTTCTCTGTCATTGTACAGTCCACATCATCATCCTGAAGGATGACATCCTTCTTTAAGACCTTCACAGCATAGACTTCATCTTTGCCCTTGAGTTCTGCCAACATGACCTGTAACCAATCAACATTACCCACATTAATCCACACATGTATGGAATCAAAAGAAGCACAAGCCAAAAGCAAAGGCTTTAAAAACGAATTCCTTTTTATTTTCTTTTTCAATTTTATATAGTACATCAACATTAAAAAAAAATAAATTAGGAAAACTGCCATCCTAATACAGCCACTAGTTTAATTTACTTGTTTACTTTTAATCTCCAGTACAGTGCCTAGGCAAAGAAAAGAGACACTCACTGCACATCTGTTAAATGATGATACATATACTATATATACCGCAGTCATAGTATACAGAGAAATTGGTTTTCTTTCTGCTTAACCGATCATTACATCAGTTTTTTCCATGTTTTTTATCATTATCACAGTTAGCAACACTCAAGTCAAGTAAATATACTACAATTTATCTAACCATTTCCCTCATAAGAGACCTAAGTTATATCTGATTATTAAGTGTCATGTAAATAAATTACATTGAGTATTTTTATGCATGTCATTTTTTTTTCTTTCTTTTTGGTTCCATCCTTAGGATAGAAATCCTCAGAAATGGATGACAGAGTTAAAATTTGTGAACTTTTTTTTTTTTTTAACAGTTCTTCACACACATTTCCTAATTGCTTTTCAAAAGAATGTACATATATACCCTGACACTGGCAATGTAGAAGTATTTTAGTTTCATGGCAATTTATCAACATTGGGTGTTTTTACATAAAAACTTTTTTGCTCAATAGGTGAAGTGTTACCTCAACGCTGCTTTAATTTGCAATGGAACTTTTTAAATATTTGTTTTCTAATTGTTATTTCTTCTTGTGTGAATTATTTGTCTGTCTCTACTCTTTTATATTATTTTATTTTATCTTATATTCTTTTCTTACCAATTTGTATGAGCTTGCTACATAAAGATATTAACCTTTTATTTGCTTGCAAAGATTCTTCTAAGCCTGTTTTATAATTTTATTTTTATTTTTTTTGTACTGAATAGAAGCATTTACCTATATGTGGTTGAATCTGTCCTTGTTTTCCTTTATGATTTCTTCTATAGCTTTAAAGCTAGGAAAGTGATTCCTTCTCCAGAGAGCTAATTAATAGTTCTATTTTCTTAAAGTTTTCCCATTATTTGATATTTTTGAACTCATTTCTCTATAAATGTCACAAGTCTCTCCCTCTTTTTTAATAGCTAACTCCTAAGCACACTATTGCAATGTAAGTTGTCAAAGCTAAAAAGCAGTAGCTCAGAAACTTAATGAGGAAATTCATGATGTTAACCCAAAGAGCTCTCCTCGTCCACCTAGAACACAAACTCTGAAACTGGCTCAAACTTTGGCTGTGATTTTTCTTAAGAAACAACCTCAGGGCCCCTGAGTCATCAAAGTTCCCATCCTGCCAACACCATATGGAAACTTGGAAACTCTGAGTCTGCTCGTTTCCCTTGAATCTTGCTCAGAATTAGACCAAGTCCTGCTCAGGGCAGAGTTCTCATCCCAGAGTTATGCCTAGACAGAAGGCTGGGGTCTGTTTCTTATTTAGCCAGTCTCTAAAGAATGTGATTGTTTCAACTTTTGCCATTTAAGCAAACTCCAGTTATCTTCCTGCCATGGAGATCTCAGGATGAGATGGGGCAGGTGAGATGGCTGGGAACCAGGCCTGTACCCCGGGGGGTTCCCAAAGCCATTCCCTTTGGAGACAGGTGGAATGGGACCGCCCAGCAGGCTGCTGCTTTCAAGAGTCTGAGACATGTGCAGGCATGTGACCCCCTGGAGCTGCCAGAGCCAGGAGCCTGTCTCCAGAGCAAGGCCTCTCTGCTCCAGGAGGCCTCAGAAAGACCAGTAAAAACACCAGTTACTGTCAAGTCATTTCCAACTCACGGTGACCCCATGTGTGTCAGAGTAGAACTGTGCTCCACAGGGTTTTCAATGGCTGATTTTTCAGAAATAGGTTGCCTGGGCTTTCTTCTGAGGTGCCTCTGGGTGGACCCGAACCTTCGACCTTTTGGTTAGCAGCCAGACATGTTAATCATTTGCACCACCCATGGACTCCCTCAGAAAGACAACTTCTGACAACTCCCATCAACTCCCAGGCATGGCTTTGAGAAGAGCAAGGGGGATAATCAGAGGTCTCACTTGAAATGCTAATCAGCTTCCTAGGCACTCGGCCCCTCCATCTTCTTTCTAAAACAGACAGAGATTATTTTTCCATCTCACTAGGCCATCAAGAATGAGCCCTGGTGGCTCACTGGTTAAAGCACTCAGCTGTAAACCAAAAGGTCGGTGGTTCCAACCCACCAGCCACTCCGAGGGAGAAAGATGTGGTAGGCTGCTTCTGTAAAGATTTACAGCCTTGGAAACCCTATGGCGCAGTTTAACTCTGTCCTTTAGGGACACTATGAGTGGATACCAACTCGACGGCAATGGGTTTGGGGCCACTCTGCACCCACACCCACATCACTGTGCTCGCCTCAGTAGGGAGCCGAATATGGCAAATGGTACCCAGGTAAGAGGACGCTGATCCAAGACATGAATGATCATTCTCACTTTTTTTGCCACAGGAGGAAGATAAACAAAACATTAGCAAATAACAGAAAAGGGAGGTAAATAACATTTAACTTTCAAAACAACAAATGCTAAGGTTTGCTTTGAACCCTATATTCACTGACGACAGAGATTCTAGAGTTCACTCTCAAAGTCTTCTTAGCGAATTAAAAAGAGAATTTGAGATGGAAGAACTTTTCATCACTAGTATTGATAATGGAACACTGCACACGCATGAAGCACTTGAAGCTTGCAAAGTCCTTTCTCACCCACTCTCACTTGGAGGAGTTCCCAGGTGGTGCAAACAGTTAACCCGCTCAGTTGCTAACCTAAAGGGTGGAGGTTCGAGTCTAACATGAGGCACCTTGGAAGAAAGTCCTGGCAATCTACATCTGAAAAATCAGCCACTGAAAACTCTATGGAGCACAGTTCTACTCTGACACATGTGAGGCTGCCATGAGTCAGAATTGACTCAATGACAACTGTTTTTTTTTTCTTTTTTTTAATCTCACTTGAGTCCTCTCCCCATTTAATACATGAGGAAAACTGAATCCGAAAGGGGTTAAAAGACTACAGTAAAGTCTCTCAGCTACTGAGTAGCAGAACCAGGACGCTTCTCTGCTTGGCCTCAGGCCGTTTCCACTCAGCAAGGAAGGAAAATTTAACAAGACCAGATTGAAATGCTCATTGTTTAATCTTAGATAAAACACACAAGGTAATGCCACAGGGTAGAGAAAACCCCAGTTCTCCCCAAGCTGGCCACAGACCTTGCCAAAGCTGCCTTTGCCCAACACTTTGATGAAGTTGAACTCATCCAGGCCCAAGCGCTTGGCCTGGCCCTGCCGGACTTCCCCGTTCTCGCCAGGGCTTCCCAGCTGGCCGTCGGTGGACGCTGCTGCCCGGTGATCCTCCCCACGATTGTCAAATGACAAGGCCTTCCGGATGTTGTTTTCAAGTTCTTTTATTTCTAGGGCCAAGGGCAACAAAATACTGCATTAGCACACACCTCGTGACCCCTTCCCTTAGCACTCCACGCGCAGGACTTCCCTGGAACCTGCAGCTGTCTGACCCTCCTTCCTGTTCTTCATAGCAATAGAATCAATGTTACATTTCTTTATCTGTTGCTTATTTGTTCAACACACTTTCACCAGCCCCTAAGGTAATAGCAGGGTCTGGTATACAAAGAGGAGGAGGATACAGTCCCTGGCCTTGCGGAGTTCACTTGCCCACAAACTCCTTCAGATGACACTGGGACCCTGGATCCTCTGAAAAGCCCTGGCTAGGAGCTTATTGCATTATTCTAGACAGACAGCAAGGATCTAGGCCCTCTCGGGAAACTTGCAGAGTCACAAAGCTAACAGGGACTCTTCAAGTTTCCTTTGAAGATCAAGAAAACCACTGAGAACAGTTATCACGGTACTCATCGTTGAGATAATTGTTTCAACAACTGTGACTAGGAAGCCTTCTCCTTCTAAAGGACTTCACTTAGTCTTGCTGCTGGGTTAATTCTAAATACCGGCTCGCCCACGGCTGTCTAATGAAATGGGCAATGCATCAACAAAAGAATTGCTTCCCAGAATGGCATGTTGCAAATCTATCTCAGAGGTGGCAGGAATTCCTCAGTACGATTTCCCAACCGTGAGACGGTCGTGCGCCCCTCCAGAGTATGTGACCTGAAAGACCTGGGGTGATAGCGCTGAGTGATCCTTTGACCCCTCTTGTTTAAAGAGGCTCTGTCATTAGCTGTTCATTCACTAAAGCACACTCTCCTCTGGATAGGGATGGGCATCTCTCTTGAGCATAATCTGATTTTAAAACATGCTGTGAAGAACTGGGATTACAGGAAGGGGAGCATGGACTGTTAACCCTTTGGAGTCAGAATCAGGCCTGGGTGACCAGGTGCTGCTGGGCATGCAGAGATGTTCAAGTTCTTTTTAGGAGGATTGAGTTTCATCAGCGCCCACTCAAGGAATCCAGAGACGTTTACTTAGATCTGAAGTTTGGGGGTGGGGAGGGCAGGGCAGCGCCTGAGTCCACAGACACTCCCCACTTCCTCTTAACTAAGTAACTTTAAATCTCTGAATGAAGCTAAAAGTCTCAGTTTCCAAGACTGCTTACACAATGGACTTTGGAAGGCAGAACTTGGGTGTTCAGGGATACCAAAGCTTGAAGAAAATGCCCTTCTGTGTTTGCTCACAATGGTGGAAAGAAACACTATGCCATACCCCTGCTCTGTAATAACCCGTGTCTTGCAAGAGGGCTTTCTCATCCATCCGTGCCACATCACTGCTGGCCAATATGGTACCTTCGCCGAAGGGATGAATGGAGACCCCAAGAGGCTGGACTGCACGCCTGGAAATCATGGTCGCTTCCCTCTTGCTTTGGGACTTGTTATCACATGACTCTGTCTCCTTGAAGCACCAAAGGAGGTCTTGGCGTTGACCAAGGAAGTGTGAAAATGCTCACACTGACCGGGGATAATCCCTGCTAATTTGGAGACCCCAGAGCACTGTCTGATCACTTATGAATGGGTCAAATCTCTTTTGGAATGAAGCAGAGTAGAAAGATGCAGAAGTCAGTTGGAGCAGTGCAATGAGATACTCAGGTCATTTATTTCATGGCCTCAGGTATGGCACACCGAGCCTAAAGCTGTTTTATTTACACTTGGGTAAGAAGGGCCGATCTTCAAGGAGGGTTTGATGGCATGCATCCTGACGTTGGGATTCCTAGGCCAACAGGGGCACAGTGTTGCCCCTACCAATCACTTAGCTCCTGACCTAGGGATAAGCCTTTTCAACTCTCCAGCCTTTCACACTTCATCTTGTATCACAAGAATAATAATACAGTACCAACATGGGGTTGGTGTGAGCATAAAATTAGGATAAGAAACACAAAATTGCTTTTAAAAAGTCAAAAAGGGCTACAGAAAATCAAGGCTCTATTATTATGCTACTATGACCATCCTTAAGGAGCCCTGGTGGCACAGAGGTTAAGAGTTTGGCTGCTAACCAAAAGGCTGGCAGTTCGAACCCACCAGCGGCTCCATGGGAGAAAGATGTGGCAGTCCGCTTCCGTAAAGATTTACAGCCTTGGAAACCCTATGAGGCAGTTCTACTCTGTCCTATAGGGTCACTATAAGTCAGAATTGACTTAACGGCAATGGGTTTGGTTTCTTGGTTTATGGTTCCAAACCAAAACTAAACCCACTGCCATCAAGTTAACACCATAATTCCGATTATGATTACTCCTGTATTATTCCTGTGCATACTTCCATCAATTGGGACAGTTTGGTGCAGGTCACTAGAGTGCAAGATTTTAAATGCATAAGCCCCTCCTCAGCCTCAGCATTCTTGGATACCTGCAGAATTCAGAGACTTATTATTACTTTAAGCATATTCTTAACAGGAAGAAGGAGACATTAAGGGCTGAACTTTAGAGGGAGTCAGGCCTAGAGCTGGCTTCCTCTCTACTTCTTTCAGCCTCTTCTCCAGCTCCATCTCCCTATCCCTACTTGCTCAAGGCCAGGACAGGAACCCTCCCCCATGCATCCCTCAGCTCTGACCTGATCTCAAGATTCTGGTGTGATGATTAGCATCGAGAGGGAGGGGGCTCAAACTTCACCTAAATGAGCAGCGTTGACATGTCTAGGGTCAGACACTGGGGCAGAAGAGGGGAGAGAAAAGGCTAGTCCCTTCTCCCCTCCTACACTTGGAACCAGGGAAAAAAGCAATGGAAAGAGAAGACCGACATGACATGCTTTTTCTCTCTTACCCCCACATGGAAGGAATTTAAGGCAGGCCTGGCTACTTTGAGGGCCAGCACTCAAGAGATCCCTGGTGAATGAAAGAACCACACTGTTGAATGAACAGGGAGAGGGTGTCTGCAGACCTTGCAGGGCTGCTGGCTGTTTGAGCTAAGAAGCTCATTCTTGGGTAGAAAGGCCTTAAGCTCTTTAGTCCTTCCAATGACAGAGCTCAGAGGTAAGGAAGCAAAGCTGTGGGTCTCACCCTGGTCACAAGGGGAGGTGGGTGCTGACTTGGATCTATCTTCCTCAGATGGTGAGCTTCCAGAAGCAGGCTGTGGGGACTCGGCACCAGCAATGAGCTAGAGAGGAGAGAAAGAGAGAAGGGAGAAGCCCATCAGAAGGGAGGTCAAAGGCATCAAGATACTGTTCCTGGTGCCCAGGATCACTTGTCGAATCAATATTCTGAAAGCATGGACTCAAGGTCTCATCTTCCAATTAAAGGAAGAAAACAAGAGACTTCAGTGTGTTCAATTTTTATTCTATCTACATCCAATTGACCTTTCTAAGCAAAGCTGAACCCAGCCTAATCCCTGAAGCCTCCCCCTCCAATCCAAGTGACCTCATCCAAGGTACTAAGACACCTGTTGTCTCCAACACCTGTTTGGCACTTCTTCGTTATTTTACTCAGCTTTATATAATTAACAATATCTATATGTATATACTGTGTGGAGCTCTCTACTCAGGTAGACCATAGGTTCCTTGAAGGTGAGACTTTATCTAGTATCTATATTCTCTCCTACCAATTTATACAAAGTAATATACAGTCATCCCTCTGTATTCGAGGGGGATTGGTTCCAGGACCCCTTGTAGATATCAAAATTCAAAGATGCTCAAGTCCCTTACATAAAATGATGTAGTATTTGCATATAACCTCCACATATCCTCCTGTATACTTTAAATCCTCTCTAGATTACTTTATAATACCTAATACAACGTAAATGCTATGTAAATAGTTGCTGTACTGTTTAGGAAATAATGACAAGCAAAAAAGTCTGTACATGTTCAGTACAGACACAACCACTGTATGCCTAACTACACAGTACACATCAGCTGTGAGGCGAACAATGCTCAGACGACGGCTGGAGAGAGACTGAGGATCTGTGAAACGGCTGGAGGCTACAGCAGGGGATGCTGTCATCACTTCATTCCCATGGATTCAGCACAGTGCTTCTCGTCTGGCAAATTCAAGTTTTGCTTTTTGGAACTTTCTGGAGTTTTTTTTTTCCCCTAATATTTTTGATCTGCCATTGGTTGAATCCACACATGCAGGACCCGCAGACACGGAGGGCTGACTGTAATAGGTGCTCAATAAATTTTTCCAGATGTATTGATATTTGTTGACAAACTTTCATAGGATACCTCCCCACACCCCCCATGAAGTCTATTTCCTGGCATCAATGCTGGCATGTCCATTTTTTTTCTTTTTTTAGTTTCATATCCTGTTAATTTTTTTAACTTTGTTTTTATTCATCTATATTTTTTAATAACTAAAGTCCGTAGATTACATGAGGCTTCTCTCTTTGCATTGTACAGTTGGCATATCCATTTTAAGTCCCCATTAGAATCAGTGGTTTGGCCTAAGAGATGGCAAGCACTTTGGCCCACTTCTACTCTCAGCTGACCAGCGGTGTGCACTTGTTCTTTCTGGATGCTGGGCTACCTGCAGGGCCAACATGGGGGAATCAAAGCTCCAGCAAGCCTGACGCTCCTGCAAAGAAGCCCTTTTGACTTCTGACCAAGGCGTTTCTCTGCCATCCTCTTATGCTAACTTGAGCCACCATGGTTTCTCCCTTGGCTTTTTCTAACTTTTGCATCAGAAGCATCACAGCAATAAAAATATTGGGGATGAGCCCCCTAGTCTAATACTCTGTCCCTTCCTGAATTTATGTTGGCTCCCTAGCAGCAGGTCCCCTCAAATCCAAGATAGAGAGCATTATAACCAGTAAACCAGCTGCCATCAAGTTAACTCTGACTCATGGCAACCCCATGGGTGTCAGAGTAGAACTGCATTCCATAGGATCTTCAATGGCTGACTTTTTGGAAGTAGATTTCCAGAACTTTCTTCCAAAACACCTCTGGGTGGACTAAAACCTCCAACTTTTTGGTTAGCAGCCGAGTGCATTAACCGTTGATAACACTCAGGAACTCCATTATAGGCCACGTAAATATGGGGGAGAAGGCAAGTATGAGTTTTCTTTAAAATATTTCATAACAACCAATATAGATTCCTTTTACTTCTAACAAGGGAAACAACAATGATGTTTCCTGGAAAGGGCTCTTAGAATTCATAAATGTGACTGTCCAAGATGCCATCACAGGGTGCTTGCTGAGCCCACCTCGTGAGTGGAGACTTATATTCTTGGGGAGTGAATTGTGCCCCACCCCAAAATTCATGTCAACTTGACTAGATCATGATTCCCAGTATTGTGTGGTTGTCCCCCATTTTGTGATCTGATGTAATTATGTGTTGTAAATCCTAGCCTCTATGCCTGTGGTTATGGTCCCATTGGGAGTGAGTTGTCCGTTATGTTAATGAGGCATAATTAGGTTATGTTAATGAGGATTAGGGTGGGATGCACCACCCTTGCTTGAGTCACACCTTTTATCTTACAAGAGATGAAAGGAGAGAGAACCAAGCAGAGAGAGGGATCTTCTACAACCAAGAAAGAACAGCTGCAAGTGGAGCACATCTTTGGACCTGAGGTCCTGTGCTGAGAAACTCCTAGACCCAGGGGAAGACTGATGAAAAGGACCTTCCCCCAGAGCCAACAGAAAGAGAAAGACTTCCCCTGGTGCTGGTGCCCTGAATTAAGACTTCTAGCCTCCTAATTTGTGAGAGAATAAATTTCTGTTTGCTAAAGCCATCCACTTGTGGTATTTCTGTTATAGCAGCACTAAATAACTAAGACAGGTGCTAGCATTTTGCATGCAATTCCAACTCCCTGGGTCAACAATGGAAGTTCTATCTCCAGTAGAGGGATTCACAGAGCTGAGATGAGAGACCAGAGACCAAAGTCCCACAGTGAACTCAACTAGAGAGAAGAGAATTTTTCTCCAACCCTTGGAAAACAACTTTGTTTATTGAGAAGGTAGAGAAGGAGGAGACATTAATCAGATGAAAACAATCCAATTCTTACCATTCAAGAAACAAAGCTTTACTGAGAGGCACAGGAAAAAGGCGTAGCAGCTTTTAAAATGTAAAGATCTCTGGGAAATGAAGGTCTTATAAAAGGCATCTGTATTAGTTATCCAGTGGTGCTTTAACAGAAATACCACAAGTGGATGGCTTTAACAAAGAGAAATTTATTCTCTCACAGTCTAGGAGCCTAGAAGTCCAAAATCATGGTGCCAGCTTCAGGGGAAGGCTTACTCTCTCTGTCAGCTCTGGAGGAAGGTCCTTGCCACCAATCTTCCCCAGTTGAGGAGATTCTCAGTGCAGGGACCCTGGGTCCAAAAGACGTGCTATTTTCCTGGTTCTTGTTTCTTGGTGGTGTGAGGTTCCCCTGTCTCTCTGCTGGCTTCTCTCTTTTATATCTCAAAGGAGATTGATTTAAGACACAACCTAATCTTGTAGACTGAGTCCTGCCTCATTAACGTAACTGCCACTAATCCTGCCTTATTAACGTTATAGAAGTAGGATTTACAACACATAGGAAAACCACATCAGATCACAAAATGGTGGACAACCACACAACACTGGGAATCATGGCATAGCCAAGTTGACACACATTTTGGGGGGATACAATTCAATCCATTAATAGTATTTCAGGACAAAATTTAGGGAGAGCATTTAGGAGTCAAGATTGTAGAGGCACCCCTAGTCAGACTTGCTTTTCTAGTAAAGAGCTTGAGAATGCTTGACATGGGGCAGGAGAGCTAGCCCCACTCAACACTCTGCCAGGATTTCTTGTCCAGTTAACATGGTTCTGACTTTTTCATAACTTACTTTAAAAAAAAAAAGAAAAAAAGACTATGGTTTTTAGAGTAGTTTTTAGTTTACAGAAAAATGGAGCAGAAAGTACAGAGTTCCCATATATCCCTCTTCCTTGCACACAATTCCTTATTATTCACATCTTGCATTAGTGTGATACATTCGTTGCAATTGAACCAAAATTGATACATTATTATTAACTACAGTCCATAGTTTACATTAGGGCTCGCTCTGTGTTGTACAGTCCTACGGGTTTTGACGAATGTGTAATGTCATGGGTCCACCATGACACTACTATATAGAATAGTTTCATTGCCCTAAAAAGGCCCCGTGCTCCACTCCATCTATTCATCTCTCCCCTGTCTCTGAACCTCTGACAACCACTGGTCTTTTTACTGTCTTTATAATTTTGCCTCTTCCAGAACTTCATATAGTTGGACTCATTAGGTATGATTCTTTTTCAGACTAGCTTCTTTCCCTTAGCAATATGCATTTAAGGTTCCTTCATACTTTTTTGTAACTTACTTCAGGCTAGGGACCAAGGCTAAAGAAGAGGCCACAAACAAAATGCTACGGGTGCCTTTAGGTCTGTTCATATCTGTGGGCCCTGACTTACCAAAACAATATTTTAGCCAATGGATCTCTTCCTACTGACACTCAGAATGTTACACCAATAGAGACAGGGCTTTGGTCTCCAAAGAAAGGCCCAGATGTTTCATGTCATGGGATGTTAACAATATTCCTCGGGCAGCTGAGTGCTGGTACTATCACAAATCTTCTTGGCTTCCTCCCTAGAAAAGAATGTGATTCCAGCTCTTCATCCATTTATCCTCATTACAATAATACTAGGGGCCAAGATCAGACACCAACATTGCTTTCATGCCAGTTCCAGAGGCAGATAAGTACATTTCCTTGTCCAAGGTAGTTACGTTTTCTCTAGAGGGAATTCCAAAGTCTGCACCTCAAAGCTTATATTTCTCTGGCAAACATTACCCTTGAGGCTTGCTTTGTTTTTCCCATGTTTGCGACTGAAGGCGACTTTAATGTTACCTGCCTGGTCTCTCTCTCTCTCTTTTTTCCCCCCATTAAACACATGCTGTTTCGAGTAAATGTTGCAAATTTAAACCTTAAAACATTACTCCAAGGCACTCTTGTAGTGCTGACCCACAAATGGCTCCAGAAACACCACCAAGTAGCTGGTTACCTTTTTCCTCCTCTGGCCGCTGTTGGTGATCTTGTCTGGAGTGACACCTAGGTCAGCCAGCACCTTGGCAATTCCTCTGGCATCCACTCCACAGTTGGGGGCAACATTGGTCTCACAGCGACGGTGAACGTTCATCTTGCAGACTGTAGGAGACATGGAAGAGAGACTTTCAAACACTCATGGCTTCAAATATGACCATTTTTTCTGATTATAAAAGTAATACATGCTCATTTGAACAAATTTGGAAAATACAGAAAAACATAAAGAGAAAAATAAAAATTACCCATCACCCCACCACACAGAAATAAAATTATTCACCAGACCACCAAGTTAACCACTGCTAACTTTCTAGTTACTTTCTTCCAGTCATTTTTTCTATATATATTAAATATGGATAAATAAACAAATATCACATTTAAATTTTCTTTTGGGGAGCTGTGAGGTGTTGAATCACTTGCAGAAGGCAATTTGACCTTTGTTCTTGGTTCTTTTGAGCTATACCAACACCTGAGGCTAACGAGTAGGGGCTGACCAGACCAAGAGGGACCATCTAGGGGCCCAATGCCCACTAAGCCTCTGGAGGCTGATAAGAATGGCGGGCCCTGAGGCTCAGAGAAGCTTGCTGGTTGGTGACCATGCATGGGAGAGGGTAGTGTATCCTTCCTTGGGACATGGAACCTCTGTGCTGTGACCCCTCCTAGACTTCACCCTATGTGTCTCTTTGTTTGTATCCTTTTTGGTTGTAAAAAAAAGCTATAGTCATAAGTTTGGTATATTCTCTGTGAGATTCTGTGAATTGTTCCAGTGAATTAACAAACCCACAGGATCAGTGAGAGCCGGCAAGAGCTGGAATCTGCCTGTTTGGCAGTCTGAAGGAAGGTGTCCTTCTAACGGGTAAGCTCTGACCTAGCTCTGGTTGGCTGGGGCCCGAGAAATGTTTCATGGATAGCTGGTCTGAAAGATGGTGTCTGTCTAATTTGTGAGCTCTGACCCAGCCCTGGTTGGCAAGGGTTGGAGACAGAGAATGTGCCATGTGAGTGGCTGGTGACGAGGATGGAGAAGTGGGAAGGTCAGGACTGGACGCATTTCTACACTTTGGGGATTAGATTCATACTGATCGTTACCGTGCAGTTAGCAATGAAAGTGGGATTTACCCACAGTGCCCCCTCGTTAGTACAGGAGCACAACATGGACCATAAAAGAACTTGATTGGTTTACCTAAAGAAAGTTCATTTGGATTCTGGACCCAGGCAAGTCACATGTACACATTCCACTCTATGACTCTCATAAAATGTTGGGCTATTACCACGAAGGCATGTCCAGGGTACAGCCTGTCAAGATGTTCATCTGAAAATGAGCCTATTGAATGAGGTGACCTCCAAGGCTCCTTTCAGATCTAAAATCCCATTTCAAAGCAACAAAGCCATGCTTGAATGTCTTTGTTCGCCCATATCACTCAGTTGTCTTGGTGTAGCACATCGAAAGTGAAAATAGAAACTGTTCTTGGAAAGAAACCAGACAGGATGGGCCAGACCTCCCACTTGCCCTGGATGATCTGGTCACTGGTCTGGGGGAAGGGACAGCACAGACCCCCACCGCAGGCTTGAAGAGAGTTCAGCTGAGCTACTGAGCCCAGGAGGCCCAAGGGGCCGAAGGCTGGGGTGTGTGGGAGGGGGGCTTAGAAGGGAGTACTTTCTTAGACAACACAAACAAGAAAGCTCCACCACAGCCTGGCCATGGTGCTGACTTGAGCAACTGAATAATTAGTAACAACTGCCTGAAAATCCTCAGTCTGAAGATAAAACTGGTGTTGGGCAGGTCAGCATTGAGACCACAAACTCCAGTCAACAGCATTCAGCTCTGAATGCTCGCTCTCTCTCCCCTTAGCGACAGATACCATTTGACACCACGTTCACCTCACCTGCTCCTGCCCACTGACCCCATGAAAGCCCTCACTCTGCCTCTTCATGAAGTGACAGAAAAACCAAGAATAAAGGAGGCCCAATGAGGGGAATTTCTTAGCTAGGGCAACTTGTCCACATAATTTAACCACTGGCGCCCTCTGGTGTTGAAATGCCAGACCTGACCATCCAACAAAACAACTTGGAGTGATGGGTCGGCAAAGTAGAAATGGTCTTTAAGGTCTTCCCTTATTATTTTTTAAAACTCTGCTATTTCCTGGGGAAAGCTACGTAGTTGTCTTAATGTGTAGTAAAAAATCCCAATCATACGTCAATGAAAATGGATGACATGAGGCAGTGACTTTGATGTGCTTTGAGAAGTCTGGAGATGTGAGGCAAAGCTCCCCATGGAAGGAGAACTCAGAGATAGCACAGGCAGCAGCCAGGGGACACAGGCTCCAGGATGCTGGTGGGCGGCACAGGGAGGCTGCAGGCAAGTAAAAGAAAGTGGACGTGCCATCTGGAACTAGAAGAACTCTAAGGTTCATTCGCATTAAAGCCAACTGTTGTGGAGTCGACTTCAACTCATGTCGACCCCATGTGTGTCAGAGTAGAACTATGCTTCATAGGGTTTTCAATGCCTGATCTTTTGGAAGTAGATCACCAGGCCTTTCTTTAGAGGTGCCTCTGAGTAGACTCGAACCTCTACCCTTTAAGTTAGCAGCTGAGAACTTAAGTGTCTGCATCACCCAGAGACTCCTCATTTATATAAAATGGGCCAAATAAACCCTCCTTCCAAATCCCTGCGCTTCTCACTCTGGGGCAAGGGATATTAGCACTGGACCGGCAAACTACTCGTAGCCTTGGGCCGCCCTTTTACGGCTTCTCTTTAAAGGTCGCTCCTTTTTTTTTTTTTTAACAGCCGTAATCACTATTTATTTCCAAAACTCTTCCATCGCCCCAAACAGAAACTCTGTACCCCTTAAGCAGTAACTTCTCGTTCTCCCTTCCCCTCCCCAGCCACTAGTAACCGCTAATTGACTTTCTGTCTCTATGGAGTTACCTATTCTAGATATTTCATATAAGTGGGATCATACAGCATTTGTCCTTTGTGACTGACTTGTTTCACTCAGCAAAATGTTTCAAGGTTCATCCATGTGGTGGCATACACCAGGACTTCATTTCTCTTTATGGCTGAATAATATTCCATTGCAGGGCAGGTTAACCAGTAAACATGGTACTCACCGGCTTGCACTGAGCAAGGTACGCATGGGTTTAATTGTATTTACTTGCTAATCTGTGGTGAGCAATTTCACGCTGGTTTCACCGCATCTTTGATGTGCTGGGGGACAGGTGAAATTGTGTGCTGCAGATTGGTGGGAAGGCACAATTGGGCCCATGCGTACCTTGCTTATTGGGTAATCTGGCCCTGTTCCATTATATGTATGTACCACATTTTGTTTATCCATTCATGCATCTGTTGATGGACACGAGTTATTTAAATCTTTTGGCTCTTGTGAATAGCGCTGCAATTGGTGTACAAGTACCTGTTTGAGTCTTTGCTTTCAAATCTTTTGGGTATATACCGAGGCAAGCCTGCCTCTTATCGTTCATTATCAGCTGATTTCACCTGGATGAAGTGCTGGACTGAAACAGAGCAGCTTTGCTGGGAATTCTCCTAAAAGGAGATCATTATTCTACTATTGTTACCCAGTTATTCATCATATGTTTGTTGAGCACCTACTATGTGCCGGGTAGAGCAACAGCAGCAGGTTCATCCTCAGGACAGATCAGGGTTTGGGCACACTGACCTTCAGTTTCTATAGCACATTCTGTGTTTCTCCTGGGAGACACTGTTTCCTTGTTCCCAACTCTTTCAAGCTGCAGTTAAAGCTCGGATTGCAATGAGGTGAGTCAGGCTATGGGAAATCCTTCCAACGTAATCTAATGACCTTCTGAGAACAATGACAAAGCCACGCCCGGGGAGAGTCAGGCCTATTTCTCCCGCAGGAATTTCTTTCAGTTGGGGTAATTTTGCTCTTGAGTGTGGGCCAGGGCAAGGTTCAATTTCATAATACAACATAATTCCCAGCCATGCTTAGAAACGTAGAGAACCAACAACTGTGAAGAGGAAACTGTATAATAGTGTGAAGAAGTTGTCAATGGCAGGTGGGTGACTGTGAAGAAAGAGAGGTTAGAGGGGTGGCATTATGTGGTCCCTTGGGCTCATGCCAGGGCACCAAAAGGTGACCAGAAAGACACTTGGAATCCTGGAACCATCACTCAGAGTTTTCCAGGGGATATGATTGGCCCATTGTCTTCTACCCCGCATTCCTCAGACCAAAACTCTGCCTCGACCTTCCATGCATGATGGGGGACATCCATGATGGTCCCTAGGCATTGTCAGATGCTACTGCAAAGGATTCAGGATCAACCAAGAACACTCCTTGGCATTTCAGCACTGAACAATGAGCTATGCTCCCTCTCTGCCCTCTATTCATTGCTGGGTGCCTGCCTGGAATGTCCTCCCCCTGCCCTGCTCTTCCCCTCCTTCTCCTCACTCATTCCTCAAGCCCACCCCCTCCAACAGTCTTTTCTGACTACCTGAGCTCCTGCTAACCCCTTCTTATACATGAATTTCTCATACTTATGTCTGACTCACTGCTTGAATTACTGCCTATTATTTAGTTTTTCAAGGAGCCCTGGTAGCACAGTGGTTAAGCACCTGGCTGCTAACTGAAAGGTCAGTAGTTCGAACACACCAGCCACTCCATGGGAGAAAGATGTGACAGTCTGCTTCCATAAAGATTTACAGACTTGGAAACTCTATGGGGCAATTCTACTCTATCCTAGAGGGTCGATATGAGTTGGAATCAACTCAACGGCAATGAGTTTGGTTGTGTGTTTTTTTTTTTTCCCAGTTTATTTAGCTTTTCATGTTTCATGCCCAAGTAAAGTGCAAGTTTCTACAAGGCTAAAGTAATGCTTTGTTTCCAAGTTCTCCATAATGCCTTGTACAAGATGGTATGTTTTCCAGTGTATTCTAACTCTAAGGAAATTAGTACTATTTAGGCAGCAAAGAATATTGAATATACCATGGACTGCCAGAAGAATGAATAAATCTGTCTTGGAAGAAGTACAGCCAGAATGCTCCTCAGAAGCAAGGATGGTATTTGTCTCATGTACTTTAGACATGTTATTAGGAGGGACCAGTCCCTGGAGAAGGATATCACACTTGGGAA